GTAATAATGCCCGAGCCAATGGTCCTCGTAATAATTCGAGACGAAATAGCACAGGTAGCGCCAATGTTAAATTAGGAGATGATGAAGTATCGTTTGAACGCGGATTGAACCTGTCGTATATGTGAGGTCAGGACTGGACCTTTGCAATCATTCATTAACAGAAAGCTGATTGAAAGTCTACATGAACAGAGAATAAAATAATTGTTTCAGTTTTCGCGAACAAGGATTTACATATTATCTTATGATCTGTTTGAAAATGTAGCTGATTTTAAACATGTTATCGACAATAATTTTCACACAGCTTTTCAATTTTCACGAAATTAAATCGATGCTTTGAGATATAAACGATAAGAGGTACGTTCCTAAATATATGTTTCTAATATGTGTCTAATCAGATATCTTTTAATTGGACGGTACATATAATTCTTTTCTTTTAAACGTGATTGATCGTGATCGAGATTCAAATTCTAAACAATAGAATACGAATGTAATGAATACGTTTCGAGAAGGAACTAATGGTAGTGTTGAATTTTGAGATATTTATAACTCTTACTGTGTGTACAGACGAAAGAATGAGATTATAATTGATTGCTTGTGTAAAAACATGCACATATTTTAGTGCGTAGAAGAATTCACGATGATTGTTATGCGCGAATGCGCGAAAATAGATTAAAGATAATATCTTCAGACTTCGATAAGTGTTATATACGCGTAACTTTCATCTAAGTTACAGTCTCTTTTCTAGATTTGTATAAAGCTTACTGTACATTTCTAATAAAAATCACCTATTTAATCTTTCATATATCCTCGATATGCAATTTTCTCCCTTCTATTATGCTCATTTTTACTAATGTAGTTTAACTTTAAACTTTTGGTTCAACCTACAATCTGTTTCTAATTCTTAGAACTACACACAGACCTTTATAAGAAGTCTGGAACTGAAAAAAGATGAAGAGTTATGTCGAACTAAAATTTAAATTAGACCACATTGGTAGAAACAAAACATTATTCATTTTGTCTAAAATAATTTGAAAGACCGAAAGATTAATAAAAGATAAGCTTTAATAAATAAATATTAATTTATTATATATGTATGTGTATGTAACATTCTGCAAGATTTTTTATGTTTACTTTGTAACTCTTCTATACTTTTGTTGGATCTTGTTTATTAGTATTCAAATGCCTTGAAATGCAATTAATTAATTATATGTAGAAATTGGAAATGTAACATAATAAATTAAATTAATAATTAGTTTAATATATTATTAAGCATTGCAATTTATTATTAATTGATAGGAGAAAATGCATAGAGAAACGTTTCATTATATTATTCAGTCTTAAAATGTAATTTATTAATTATTTAAAAAACTAGGAATTAATATATTATTAAGCATTGCAATTTATTATTAATTGATAGAGAAAAATACACAGAGAAACCTTTTGTGATAGAAATCAAAGACATCAATTCTTTCACAAATACATTTTTTAATTTTATCGGATTTATTTATTTATATAGAAGTTCCAAGAGCAAAGGAGACATTGTCGGATTCCACTCATGCTCATGTTCCGTCGCTTCATGGCGTTCGTGCACGAAAACGTAAACAATGACGTATAGCTGTTAGTTGTACTCAGCTGACCTTTCATAACAAAGAAAATTCGATCGAGCATGGAATTGACGGAATGTGCCATCGCGAAACGACGAAAGAAGTGGAAGAGGAAGCGACGCTTGAAGCGCTTGAAGAAACGGTTGCGCGAGCGAGAGGTTAGGTTCAACGCGAGTCATTGGACGGCCTTCCCCGAGTATGTCACGGATGCACAAGAGACACTAGCGACGGGCACGATGCAAGCCGACGCTTTCTGGAAGAATTACGCCGTGGCCCAGGAATGGCAGAAACGGTAAGTTTGCAGGTTAAATCAATGTGTAAAATCAAAGAGAAGATCGTTAAAGGAACCTCGTCGGTTTTCAGACATAGCATAACCTGGTGGAGGTCACGTTGCGTCGCCCTGGAGCACGAAAATAAACTGCTGCGCGACAAAGTGAGATCCCTGGCTCAGTGTCACGGCTATCGTGGCTTTCGGGAGAATTATAATTATCGTGCGGATAATGACAATGACGACGCTGAGGAAGATAACGACACGGAATCAGATACAAATGAGAATCTGGAGTTCAACGTGACCGAGGATTTGTTGAACTTCTTCGAGACGAGCGAAAGGCACAAGCGAGAGATGCGGCTAAAACGTGAATGTAGTGAGACCGAGCATGAGGAGGAAAATTTAGAGGAGGAATCCTTCGTCGGCGCTGCCGAGAGCATCCAGATGAAAAAGGATGAGGCCGATCTGCTGCAGGGCGATGCTGGCTCTAAGATATTGGCGATGGAAACCGTTCCACAAAGCACGATAGAGCAATACGAGGATACAGCGAATTGATAATATTAGCCCAACATTCCTGTGAAACCTTAAGATTAGCTCTAATCTTCTTCTTCTTCTTCTTCTTCTTCTTCTTCTGGATGGCTTTCCGACCTCTCCAGTGAAGGTCAAAGTGCCACAAGATGTTATATTGATCTGTAGATCAAGCCTAAGCCTCTTTGGGGAGCAGAGACTCGCTTTAACTGCTTATCCAATAGGATTAGTTATAATCTAGTGAGCTATTAAATGTATTCTTTTTTTAATATTTAATGTATTTTAAGAATATCTTGAAAAATAAAAATTATTTTCTTTTATAGTTGGAAAGCATTACTGAGACAATTTCAATTGCCTTTCGTTTCGCAATTGCGCTCCAAATTTAACATGCTACGGTTAATACGAGAGATCACCGGTAGATGACGCCATCTCAACGTTTTTATGATTTATGCTTGTCGCTCCGTAACTATAGATGGAATTACTAGGATTAATATCGAGGCTTCTTTCTTCAATATTAATAATAAGGAAGGAATATATTTATTTATACGCTAAAATATGTGTGTTTTATGCAGAAACAATGATGTATAACTCCAAAGATGAATAAGGTTTGTCGCCGTGTTGTTATACGATTAAATTAATTAAGCCCGTACATATTATGAGTTATTTTTTAACTGATATACTATATATTTAATTGATATATCAGTTAAACGTAATACATTTTATATATACACGGGATTAAAATATATATAATTACCTAGTAAATAAGTTAAAAGTAACGTACATATTATAATTTCACATTCAACGATGTAAATATAACACATATATTTTGCCGAGTGTAAAATTATAATATTCATATTAATTTAAGTTAATCTTACTTTTAGTTAATGTTTCCTGGGTATTTTTTAAAAAAAGGGTTTTCTGATAAGATATTGGCCTTTTTTTTCCCTTGTATCTCGACTTATTAAATTTATAAACTGTAAAAAAATATAATACGTATTCTAATGTTGAACTTGGCAGCTTAATATTGTTCGAAAACAAATATAATCGCTGTCTCCCTTTCTTAAAATGGAAAAGTCTCAATCGCAAAATCGAATTTGTACGTAGTTCGTAAGATCCTCCTGAGTCATAAGCACATACGCGGTAAACTCGTGAAGGCCCGCGGTGTATAAGACCAATTGCGCCAGAGGCAATATCAAGTTGTTTCTCTCGCGCGGCAACGCAGCGCAGCCATAAATGACACCCATCGTATGAAATACACCGAGGGGGAAGCAATTAATAGCTAATCTAAACGGCGGAGCAATTACATTCACATATTATTATTACTTGGATCAGAAATAATCGATCGGCACCGTCGCGGTGTGAAAAACGTTATAGCCTCGCGACGTGCGATTATGCATGCGCGCGTTATGAGACTTCAAAAAAAAAAAAAAAAAAATGAAGAGAAGCGAAAGCGCGTGACAAAGACGTTGCTGAAAAAGTTGCACGTGGATCCAACGTGAAGACAGATGCTTTACTATCTGTTAATTCCGTTGCGAATATATGCGCGCAAAACGCAGCGTTTTAATGTTTTCTAGAATCGATGACTACGTTCGATCAGTAAAACAAGCAGCTTTTCAACATGTAAGAGTCTTCAATATATAAAGTTCATGAAGTATTAAAGGACAGTCATATTAAAAAATTTTACAATAGTTGCAAAGTTGCTTTATCTGCTTATTGGAACACATGAAAAAAAAAAGTATATTCCGTGTATTTACTTGGTCTGTTTCATAATCCAGTCATCATAAGGATTCTATTAAATAATATGATGTAACGTGCCTGTTAGTGTACTTACTCAACGATATAATATAACTAAATATAGTATAACACGTGTTATACTATATTACTCACTTAACAATATAATTATAGCATATAAAAATAGAGAGACAAAGGCTTTAAATTAAAACTAGCAAATAATAAAAAGCATTCAGTCCTACGCAAGATCTTTCGCAGAGAATTTATTAAAATCCGTTATACATAAAAATTATAACAATACACGTGTTATATTACAGTTGCATATTATTGTTGAATGGGATATTACAATTAACTAACAGATACGTTACATGTAACTAGGTGTTTATTGAGATGTCAGGTAGATACGTTCATAATGATTCCAGAGATCGCTGAGACGCTGCTTTAAAGGATCTTCCGAAAGAAAATCCAAGGGAAAATCAATCTATTAGTATCGCATTCTGGATGCACATTCGGATGCAGCTGGATCGGGCCTGCAATTCTGTCGAGTCGTCGTCCACGTGTGGAACCGCTCTCGGGCTCGGGGCTGAAGAGTTGTCCATGAGGGCGCTATGCCTCTGTAACTCAATTACCGCGCATTGTGTTCGTGCCTGTGGATACCACGCGACGCACACGATTTCACCGTGTGCACGACGATGACGACAACGATGCGACGGGGACGGCGATGGCGACGGCGACGACGACGCGAAGGTGCAGCGCAACTTGCCCATGGTACGGATCAAGGTCATAACTCGTGAGTAGTATGCAGAGTAAAGTAGTTGATATCACGTATTCAGAATCCCGTAGCCAAGGCCTTTCAAGCCTCCTTTGTCATTGATTGAACGTGGCGTCGCTAGCGTTTCAAGATTTATATGAATGTACGACGAGAATTAAAACGCAAACGCAGCGAAGATATAGATATACCCATTCCGCTAAGGTCGTGTGTAAGGGCCATGGCACACAAAAGACTAAAGCAGTAAAATGTAAACTGTAAGCAAATTGGTCAATCACAGTAGAGACCGTAAGGCTATAATGTAAGCAGTAGCGAATCCAACATGTTGATTTCCTTACTGCTTACGTCTCACTGCTCAAGTTCTTCTGTGTGCCATGATTCTAAGACTGCTGATCACTCATGGAACTTTCACATAATGAAAGTTCTTGCAAAATATATTTGTAAAGAAACATTTTTCAATAAAATAATTTTTGACAGTGCACACTTAAGAAATGTAAAACACTTCTTTTATTTTTAATAAAATCATACTTATCTTCAACTGTCATATGTATACTTAGCTGTTACATATTTGTTTCGTAGTTTTCTGATTATAGATACAATTCAATTTCAAATATATGAGTTATTTATTGATTATCGGAATAAAAGAGAAGTTTTCAATATATTTTATTATAATATTGTATATTCTATCAATTGCAAATGTTTTATTTAAAAAATACATTTTAATATAGTTTGCAAGAATTTTCTTTATGTATTTTTCTCGTTTCTGACATCACAATCCAAGATAGCTGCAGCGAGTAACCTTGAAATAATTGTACCATCATATTTTTCTTTTCATTAAAAACGGTCGATTTAAAATTTAATTATCTCATTGGAAAAAGCACCAGGCCAGAAACATTTTCTGTGATTTATATTCTTAATCGTTTGTAAGTCACACACACACGCACATTGCCATAGAAAGCTTCCTGAACGAAATGTTTCGATAAAGAACATCTTGTCGCCGGATAATTCGGGGAAACAAGAAGTGGCTCCGTGATATGTCGAAAATAGATTGGAGCAGAACATGAAGGAAGTTTTGGCCGGATCGTCCAGACATACGTTATCTATAGACCGAACCCGCGAACAAGATTCAAATTCTCGAACCAGTTCGTGAGAAGACGGCATCGATATCTTCGCCCGAGAAAAAGTCTTCCCTAATTATCGAAATAATGCTTGTCGTGATATCTGACATCCCGACACTTACGTGTTAGATCGAGGTCTATTTTTTCTACACCTTCACGAGAACATCCAAGAATTCCGCACTCCTTCGGATCTAAATTATTTCGTTCCCATACCTCTTCACAAACGTGAGGGAAATTAAAATAGTTCTCACTGTTTATCCCAGATAGGAGAATAAGCCAGAGATGCTCTAATTGAGACCTAATAGGTTTGAAAGTAACAATGCGTTGAGAATCACCAACGATTCATTAACGATAAAATCAACGACCGTCAATTTGCAATAATTTCGCGATGACTGCAAGTGTTTTATAGTGTAATCGTGAAAGGAAGAGGGAAACATGGGAAAAAGATTTATTAAAACAACGAAAAATTCCACTGATTTAATGAATCTATAGTCCTAATATACAGACAGCTAGTTTTCTATATCAAAGTAGTACAACAGAATAAAATTGACGATTATAAGTAATCATATTTGTTGTAATAGCACAACAAATTTGTTAATGCAGCAAAAACTTTCTATGAAAATCAATCCAATGTACAGATCAAAATTTTTAACAAAACATGCTAAGATGGCACGTATTCTTGCTGCTATAATGAAGGAAACTTATTACATGAGCAATTTTTATCGCAACAAAGAATTGGCTGAATTAGCACATTGATAATTGTTAACAGACACAACAATTTCTTTGTTGAACTATCTCAAATCTTTTTAATTATAGATTAACTCACTCAGCAAGCTACAACTTTGTTGAACAACCTAATCTATTCTTTTCCTATTTTGTGTGAATCTATTTTACGTGAATACATCGCGGAAAAAAAACGCAGCTGAAAACTAGCAAATCTACAGTCGAAATATACAGACAGTCAATTTTCTATGTTAAAATAACAAAATTCATAGCTGAATAACATAAGCGATTTTTGTTAAATCATCAAATCTTCCTAGTTACAGATGTTGAATTCGCGCAGTAAGTTATAAGTTTGCTGTACCACCCAATTAATTTTTTTTCCGTACATGGTGTAGGTACACCTAGTTGAACTAAATTATTTATTTTCATCCGAGACGAGCTCTGACTTATAGATGACAAGTTCCCAATCAGTGTAGAACACGTAACGTGCGAAACGTCCTTCCTCTCTTTTCCCCGGTAAACCGGTCGGTCCTACGCAAAGTAGTTGCTCTCCGGAGAGTCATTTTATATTCCCTCCGCGACTTTCATTTAGATCTTTATCGATCAACTTTCACGGTGTACTCCGCGCATTGCACTTCATTAAGTTTGCTTCCGACCTCTGCGGGCTTTCGCGCGAATACAATATCGAGGACTTGTACATTAAATTCGCTTTTCACTCCGTTATATCGATGAGAATCATTACGAAGCTTTCACAAATTGCAGTAAGTATCAATCAATCGCTAACAAACGTGATAGCGATGCGCCGTTAAATTGTGACCCGCTACGACTAGTTACGAGTTTTTCAGGAATCGACAATGAGAAACTTCAAGCGCGTTGGAAAGCTGGGCAATAATGTTATGTAAAG